AAAGGTGTCTCAATATACAACTATATTGAGACATTGTTGAGCAGCTAAATAAGAAAAAATCAAAGAAAAGAATAAATATTAAATGTCAGGGTTGGGGCTCACATTTTGCGTATTGAAGATGGAATTGTACCTCGGATAAAAATTGGTCGCTCACCCCAATTGGAAGTTGATGTGAATTTGTAACTGTGACAAAAAAACTTGGAGCCCAATTTCAAGTCAGTGGTGGAGTTGCAATTGGGGCGAAGAATAAAAAAGGGTCGGTGCTAGTTGTGGGTCGAGGATGGACTTGCAAACAAGGATGAAAACAAATTATGAGACGAGTTGCGGGTCAAGGATGGACTTGCAGCTGGGACAGTTACACAAAACTACGAGAGTTGCGAGTCGAGGGTGGACTTGCAACTAAGGCAACTACGAGCCCAGTTGCGAGTCGAGGGTGGACCTGCAACCGGGACACCAGCGAAACTACGAGCCAACTTGCAGTCGAGGGTGGACTTGCAACTGGGATAACAAAAAATTACGAGCCCAATTGCGAGTCAAGGGAGGACTTGCAGCTGGGACAACTATGAGCCCAGTTGTGGGTTGAGGGTGGACTTGGAACTGGGACAACTACAAGCCCAGTCATGAGTCGAGGATAGTCTTGCAACCGTGACAACTACGAAACTACGAGCCAAGTTGCCAGTCAAGGATGGACTTGCAACTAGGGCAATACAAACTATGAACCCGGTTGTGAGTCGAGGGCGACTTGCAATTGGGTTAAAAAAGAAAATGTATTCCGCGTTGCGAGTCAAGGGTGGACCTGCAACTAGGATAACAACAAACTGCAGGCCTAGTTGCGAGTTGAGGGTGGACTTGCAATTGGGATAAAAACAAACTATGAGCTCAGCTGCGAGTCAAGGGTGGACTTGTGACTGGGACAACTACGAGCCTAGTTGCGACTCGAGGGTCGACATACAACTATGACAACTATGAAACTACAAGCCAAGTTGCGACTCAAGGGCGGACTTGCAATTGGGATGAAACAAACTATGAGGCTAGTTGTGAGTCAAGGATGAAACTACAACTGATATGAAAAACAAACACAAACCCAGTTGCGAGTAGGTGGTGGGCTTGCAATTGGGACAACTATGAGCCGAGTTGCAAGTCGAGGGTGGGTTTGCAACTGGGAGAACTGCGAGCCGAGTTGCAAGTCGATGGTGGACTTGCAACTGGGACAATTACGAAAATACAAGCCTAGTTAAGAGTCAAATGTCGACTTGCCACTGGGATGTCAACTACCGACCTAGTTGAGAGTCAAGGGCGGACCTGCAATCGAGAAAAAAACAAAACACGGGCCCGGTTGCGAGTAAAAGATGGGCTTGCAACTGGGATGAAACAAACAACTTGCCTAGTTGCGAGTCGAAGGTGGACTTGCAACTGGGGCAACTACATAAAACTATGATACGAGTTGTGAGTCGAGAGTGGACTTGTAACTTGGACAAGTACAAACTATGAGCCTAGTAACGAGTCGAGGGTGTACTTGCAACTGAGACAAAAAAAAGATCAATACCTAATTGCATTTCATTGCTGGACTTGCAACTGGGATGGAAAAGGGTGGGCCTAGTTGCGAGTCATTGGTTGACATGCAACTGCAGCAAAAAAAACCCGACTAAGAGCCTAGTTATGAGTTGATGGTTGTCTTGCAACCAGGATAATAGAAGGGGTGGGCCTAGTTGCGATTCGATGGTTGACTTGCAAACTGGTACAAAAAATTCAACCCCTTGTTGCGAGTTGATGGTGGACTTGTAGCCGGGGGCAAAAGCAAAGTCAGGCCTAGTTGCAAGTTGAGGAGGGACTTGCAACTAATGAAAAAAAAGTTAACCCAGTTATAATATAAATGAAATATGAAGCCCAGTTATGAGTTGAGGGTTGACCTACAATAGGGTAAAAAAATGCCAAACCTAGTTGCAAGTCAAGGCTAGACTTGCAACTGGAACAAAAAGAGATCAAGGGCCAAGTTGCATGTCAATTCTGGACGTGCAACTGGAACAAAAAAAATGGACATGTCGACTATAATGGAAAAAAAATGGGAAACAGAGAAAGGAGGAATGAGGGGAGGAAAAGCAGCCGTAAAATGGAAGTGATCAAAGTGGCAAAAATATAGAACCATGTCTCTTCCGCTTCTACGAAGTAGACCAATAACAAACGACCGGAACCTAACAAAAAACGGGCCGACAACTGGACATCGGGACGACCAGGATACGCGACACAAAACAATACATGACCAAAATTGTATAAAAGATTAGAAAAAAATAAATCGGACAGACCACAACTTAGATAACACATTGTTAAAAATCTTCATGGGATTTAGCAAATTTGATTCGAAAAACTGTTCAAATATTTTTAGAATGTTCATGAATCTAAAACAAAGACAAAATTTAAAAGATGTTCACAAAAATAAAAATTCATCAATTTTAGTAAGTGTGCACACATTTCAAAACGTGTTTCACAAACTAAAGAAATTGTGAATCGGAAAATAAAAATACGAAATATGAAAAAGAAAGAAGATAAAAACGGGACAACAAAAGTTGAGATGTGAAATGTATGGGAACAGTGTTAAAAATAACCAAAAACAGGCCAGCCCTAAGACATAAGAAGGACCATGTAACGATCGGCACAGTTCCGGTGGAGCTCACGTCGATTCTCAAACAATGATTGTAATTAGCTCCTGAAGTGTTTCTACTCTTGTATATTCTTAAAAAAAAACAGGCCAGCCCGTGCAACGAGCGGCCGGACAAACAAGAAAAAAAAGCAACTATCTAGCGACAGCGACAGCGACGTACGCGAGCCACGGGGGACGCGCCTGCGGGACGCAAATCAAAATTGCACAAAAATTACAGCGGAATAGATCCCACGGTTAATAATTTGGGATAAGTATATTTTTCGTCCTCAAACTCTTCCGAGAGTTTAGAAATCGTTCCTCAACATTAAACCGAAGAGTTTTCGTCCCTCAACTATCCAAATCGAATAGTTTTCCTCCCTCGTGCCGCTTCGGGCGGTTTTAGTCCGGACGAACAGTAAATCGATGAACAGTAAAATCGTCAATAAACAGTAAATTCGAAAAAATAGCAAAAAAAATTCAAAACAGTATAATTTTTTTGGCATCAAAGAGGCTTGGGTGCACAACGTGCATGCAAATTTTTCGTGGTGTTTGGGCATTGTACGAACTCGTTAAAAAAAACAAAATTTGGCTCAGATTTTTTTTAAAAAAAGTGAGCTATTTTGTTTTTTTGGCTAGAGCTCCTTGTATGTCATTTGATCATGAAATTTTGCACGCATCTTGCGTACCTGAGCATCTTTGATGCCAAAAAGTTTCATGTTCTTTTTTGCTATTTTTTTGAATTTACTGTTCAGCGACGTATATATTTATAATTTTTTGTTGGCCACGAGCTGCTCAAATGTCGAAACACCACAAAATTTTGCACGGGTCTTGCGCATCAGAGTATCTTAGATGCTATAAAATTTCAGTTTTTTTGCTATTATTTTCGATTTTACTGTCCATCGATTTACTGTTCATCCCAGACTAAAACCGCCCGAAGCGGTACGAGGGACGAAAACTATCCAGTTTAGTTGAGGGACGAAAACTCTCCGGTTTAAAGTTGATGGACGATTTCTAAACTCTCGGAAAAGTTCGAGGACGAAAAATATACTTATCCCTAATAATTTAGATGTGACATCTTTAAAAAAACATGTAGACGTCGTTCTGATTAAAATACACCGCATTCAAGCGCGGCTTAAGAAATTTGCTAGAGATGCCCTGAGTACCAGACAGACGATGGGAATACCAATTCACGATTCCGACCCAGAAGACCCCGACTAGTGACATCCAAACGCAACCTTAACATTATCATCTATACATGTCTGTCATCGTCAGACTTGACTGCCTCTCGCGGCGTCATTCAGTCTTTATCGTTGTTTTGCTGTTTCGTTTTGTCGTGGCTAGTCAGTAACCTGCAGGTGACGGCAAGTGATATTTTTCATGAGGGCATGTACAATGATGGCATATGGATACATATGCCCCATGACAAAAAGTAATTTGAAGCATCTACATTAATTTTTTCTCTCCAATGCAAGCTATCACTAGTGGGCTTCCTTAAAAAAATAAAAAATAAAGACTCTAGTACACATGCATTTTTACTTTACTCCAACCTTTTCAGCTTTTGTCATCGGACCATGCTTTTTCTCTTCAAGAACCCGCCTCCTGGAGATGATCCTGCTTTCCTATCCGAACCTACTTTACGTCATATCCGATCCTATATGGTATGCGAGGCATCACCTTAAGGCTATGCATTTTACATGCCCTGAGGGCATGTACAACGGGGGCAGCACCTTGCTGCTGCCCCAGCCCTACACGTAGGTAAAAATAATTGAGGCATCTGGTTTGATTTTTAATCACCCAATGCACTGACGTGAGGACACCATCTCGTTTGGGGTCCACACATACACTCTCTCTCCAACCTATCCCATTGGCAGTCCTGATCTTCTCTCTCCTTTTCTTAGCTTTTCTTGCTTTTTGGTTTGAAGAAGCAGTCTCCTCTGCAGAATCCTCCTGTGCTCTGCAAGCTACCACTTTAACGCCACGCTGGCATCCGAGCCTAGTTGGCCTGCGGGGCATCACCTCTGGGGCTAACCGTTGGGCATGCCCTGATAATCCTGGCATCTGGTACGACCTTGGTCCACGAATGTACTCTCCGTTTCAAAATAGATGACCCAACTTTGTATTAAAAAGTTAGTACAAAGTTGAGTCATTTATTTTAAAACGGAGGGAGTAGCTTTCGGAATTCAGATCCAATGATGACTCATCTGGTCATCGCTTAGTTCAGATCCGTCAGGACTCTGAACAAGCGGCATGCAGTGTAAATCTCGAACAAGTGGCATGTGCATTCATCAGCTTAAAATCTTACAAGCTCGAAGCTAGCATCCTGAACTCATAATTCGTTGCCTATAAACAGTCCTGCGGAGATTTAGAGATAGCGCGAGTTATCGAGGAAATCGGCGTCGGCCAGCTGGAGCATGAACTCCATGTCCCCCATCGGGGATTCCGTCGTGGAGGCCTTGCACTCTGACGTCGCCGGCGACATGAAAGGGGCTGCAGTGGTGGCACAGCCGGCCTGGAAGTCGCTGCCCGTGTCGGCGCCTGCTTGTTTGGAGGGGAACGAGAACGGAGCCGCCACGCCCGGCGCGCAGCCCTGGGTCTTCAGTCCCACGGAGATCCGCTCCTGTCCGCCTGCCGGCTGCGGCTGCCGGTGCTCTCCGCTTGCTACGGGCTGTGGCCTCTGGCTGTTGTAGTGCTTGCCCTGCGCGCACGTGTGGTTCCCGTGGTACACGACGTCGAAGAGCAGCGGGTCGCCGTGAGCACGTTGCACCTGCTTGCTGGCGTAGCAGCCCTGCGTGTGCCGGTGGGTGCACCGGAAGTAGGCCCTGCGACGAGTTCAATTTAGTTCTTATTCAAATGATAGCTTGCTCGCTTGCTTTGAGGTGGTTGAGTAGCGCTCGAGCGTCAATCGTCGCTGACCTTGGGTACTTGGCTCCGAGGATGTCCTTCTGACCGTACTTCCTCCAGCTGATGCCGTCGTCGAGGGGGCCGACGTCCTCCACGGAGTTCACCCTCACCTGCGTGCTCCACTTGGGCTGTGTTTTCCTGCACTCCTAGCAACCATCTTAATACCAAGAAACGGGATAATCAGCAAGCTTGGATTTAGGCTGTTGTTTGCTCTTAATTACCTCTTCTTGGACTGCCCAGCTGCATGAGCGCCGCGGCAAGGGGAGTCGGCAGCCTGGTCAGAGCCGCCGCTGCGGGGGCTCCCGCCGGCAGACGGCGGCGACTCCGGCGCTCCGAGGACCACGCAGCACGACGACATGGCGATGTGGATGGACCTGTCGACGGAGGAGCGCATGCTCGACACTAGCGTCCGGCACGTCTCCCCTCCGTCAGCGCCGCCCTTCACGCCCATGTGCGCCTCCAGCTGCCTCACCGTGTCGAGCACCTGCGCCAGCTCCGTGGCCAGGGCGCACCTCTCCTCCATCTCCTCCCGCTCGCTCAGCCGACAGCGGTCAGCGTGCCGGCGTTCATACGACACAGCAGGCGTCTATGGGCGGTCGTGATGGTTGGGTGTGTGCCAGTGCGGGCGAATGGGAGACCCATTTATAGAGCTGGTGGTGGCCGGCCGGGGAGGCAAAGATCGCACTGCAGCGTCACTAGATCGCGCTCGTTGTCCCGGTTGGAAGAGTAAGAAGTTTGACTGGACTAACAGATTCTCCTGCGGAAGGAAAGGACTTGTGCGTGTAATATTCAAATGCTTAGACCGGTCTTTGGTCATGGGGTTGGGCACTAGCGATGCTGAGTGCTGCTTACTTGTTTCATCTAGAACATCCTTTGACCGCTTCTTTGATCGATCATCTGCAGATCGGCTGGAAATATTTCTCTTTTGGTGTTAGTGCCCGCTCAGTTATATGCCATGCTGGTTGGTCCATGCAGCTTACACTTTGACTGCTTACAATGAAGAGAAAGGCAGGACTCCAGGACTTTCCCGCGCCATGTTGATCCCTGCGCGCATCCCACAGTGAGTTCGCCAGCTCGTCACGGACGCGGACATTTGGTTCCTGGGCGTATCTACACCCTATATGAAAAAAATAGTAATTACACAAAAAGTAAAAGAAATCTGAAAATATTTTTGAAATAAACTTGACTTTCAATTGTACTTGTGAGAAAAAATCCACAAAAATAAAATCCCTCTTGTTTTCTTTACAAAAATAATAAATTTTTGGCCAAAATAGTGTGAATAATGACCTCTAATAGCAAAAAAATAATTCCTTTTTGCCCTGAAGTCAACATTGGTTTTTTTCGTGAAAATTTATACACTGGTGTAAAAGAAAGTCAAGTTTATTCTATTTTTTTGAACTATTTTGACTTTTTGTTTAATTATTAAATTTCCCACCAACCAGGGTGTATCTACAACCAGGACCAAAGTGTATTTCCCAGCCTGTCTCTCCCTATTCTGAAGGTTACGTTGGCATCTAGCTTACTGTGGACTAGCTTCTCTATCTCCCTTGCTCAAAATCCTCTTCTCTCTTGCTAGTCGCCCTCAATCCTTGTCTCTCTTGCTCCTGGTCGTCAGGGACGGTGCCAGGAACTTCATATGGGGTGGGGGGGCAATGATACATGTATGACCATTGGAGGGGGCCATGCACTCAAGTTTAGGTTTTAACTCTGTAAATTCACACAAAATATATAGGGGTAATTTAAGGATTTTGTTTAGCATGGGAGGAGCCATGGCCCCGGCTCACCCCTCCTGGCTCCGTCATTGTTGGTCGTCGTCTCACCCACATTTTTTTCCTTCTTCCATTGCTCATTGACGCTGCTATCTTCCGCACGAATGAGGCATTGCATGTGGTGGTTCTGGGTGGACTGGGATGGGTGTTTTGTGCTGGGGTTGTGAGGTGTGGTAGCTGAGGCATGGCACATGCTCAATTTCTGAGTGGAAAGGGAAGCGCAGGGTGGTCATGTTTCTTTGACGCGATTTGCATAAATGAGCGAAAGAGGGAGGCAATGGCGGTGGGCGTTATGTCAAATTGAGCGTGAGGGGCGAGCCCTAGTAGTGTCGTTGTGCTGAATGCAGCAGAGGAAGAGGCGGGATGTGGTCGAAGTTCTCCAAACTGTAAGCGGTTTTTAGGATGATGTGTCATTGTGGGTAGATTGATTCAAACGAAGAGAAGGGTACACACTTGTTGTTGGTGTGCCAAATCAAGACTTATGTGGCATGGGAAATGGTGTTGTGTTCATTTGTGGTTGATTCAGTGGGGTATGAGGTGATTTTGCTTCTATTAGGGGCACCGGGCGGATTTATCTTTGGATTTTAGTTGTGTTTTTTGATGATCTAGTGGTCATCATGACTTAGTAGTTGTGTTCTTGTTCTGCTATTGTTTATACAATCCTTTTTGGTTTTCACGGGTAAGGATCGATGGCAGGGGCAAGGCTAATGGAGAAGGTCGAGGATGGGACAATATAACTCTTTTTTTGAATAGTTTGAATTGCTTACAACATATGTCACGTGTTATTCTTGGAGTCACATATTATAGGTAAATCAACTCACTGGTACCAGTGAGGTGCTATACAAACGGTTTTTAACCCCTTTCCGCGACGGCGTTCTGAACCGTCGCCTAGTGAGTGACTGCGATATGGAGGTCCTTCCCACACGACCCAGAAACCGTCGGGAAAGTGCCCTCCTAGCACACATGCTCGGCAAAATGAGGTCGAGTGCGACCGGCGAGCGATCAAATACGGTTATACATACAGCAGTTCTAAAAAATACAATTATACAGGCGAAATCGTTTCCGGTCATAAGTACATCCCACACAGTCAGTCCCCGCTAAAAGTTTCCGTTCGTATATACATCCCACATAGTCGTCCCAAGGAAAACGTTTCCATTCGCAGGTACATCACACACAAATTTCCTCATAAATTGTTTGTGATAGTGTTGCCATTGCACACGATATTAACAATTTTATCATTTGCATTATTGAATGCATCACATACAGTGCGTAGAAGAAACTGTGTGGCAAAGGTTGTCCATCACACTTAATTTTTATGTGGTAACCGTTTGCGCAAGGTGGCCTAACGCAAACAGTTTTCAAGAGGATGTCATGTATGATTGTTCATTGATCCAACACGGTTTATTCCTAGAAACTATGTGTGTTGCCTGAGGTCATCGCCCACGGTGTTTTCTCAATAACCGTTTGCAATAGAAAAACCCAATTAGCAGGCTAATTCCCTATTGTTAATAATCCATTTATTAATCTAATTGACATTTCATATTAAGCACATAATATATTTCATTTCCATATTAAGAAAACAGGATTTCATAATTGAAATACATCAGAGTACAACATCATATAGCTTCAGCACTCAGCTACCCCATTACACAACTGCCCGGCACCAAGTTTCACACGCAACATCTAGAACCTTTCGAAATTAACATCATAGACGGTACATAGACAGATGCATCTCATCTGAAAAACTGCTGAAGCGGAAGGCGAATATAGAGCCTTCATTGATGTTGAAGGTCTTTGCAACTTTAGGCCAGTGCATGTGGATGATTGACCGTCCATCCTTCGTCCTCTTCAGAAACACTTCAATATTGAACCGTGGGTGTTGTATGAAAACCTTCCTCACCTCCTGACCATAGAGGTGGTTTGAGAGGTAATCATTAGTGAACTGCTTTGCAAAGGCCTGAAAACAAGGACGTGCATAAATATCTTCTCTATATTGAAAATGGGGCAAAGGAATAAAAAAGGCAAGTTATAATAGTTAGTACCGTCTTGTAGTGAACAAATGTCTTCTTCATTGTGCAGACAAAGATCTTGTTGTTTTTTGTCGCTAATTTCTTTATCCTAACAATCTTTCTAAGTTTCCCGACTTGATTGATATTTATGGATAACTCATTTCCCCATATGCAAAAGGGGTCGAACAGTGGGTCAAAACCTCTGACAGCAGGACCTATATGTGCAAGACCAAATTGTTAAAAACCTAAATATTATAATGGTTCCTGCAATTGCACAATAGTGTGCTATTAGACAACAGACCATGCATGTGCTAAACTCGATTGTAAACCTCAGTGCTTCCCATTGTTTCCCTGCAACACATATAAGGTAGTTAGTCATCGGGTTAAGTGAGGGTCCGCATGCTATTAGTAAAATATGTTGATGAAAAATAAGCACATTGCAGATTCATTAGATTAGTTCAAGCCACATGGAAAACCCATTTATCAAACCAAACACGACTAAGAACTAGGAAATATAGCACTTGTATATGTTTCTCATGTATTACATGCAGCCAAATTCAATTTATTCCTCACATACATAACAATATAAAATTCTACCCACGACAATTCACTACAAGAAATATGTCAACTAGTGACCTTTTGTCAGTGACCCTGGAAGAATTGGTCATAGATCTATGACCATTTCAGACCAATTGGTCAAAAGCTGTTCGAGGGGCTCCAAACCCTAAACCATTACGACCATTTTGGTCAGAAAGGTCATAATTTCCTTACACGAAAAGGTCACAAAGCAAACAGTGCTAGTCCTGTCACATCCCTAGCTGCTGGTAGTGCTCTAGGCTAGCTTCATGTTTGCATCATGTTTAAATTTTGCCTAAAATTGAAATGGGGATGTTCAAACCCTAGCATTAAATCAACTCAACTAGGGTGAATTAAAATCTTTTCAATAAACCCAAAAGGTTCCTAAGAAAAGTTCATGATTTCTGGTTAAGGTGGAAACCTCTGCCAAAAATGATGATTATATTCTTAGGTCATTTTTGGATTTTTGAATTAAATCATATTGTATTTGACTTTGGGCATTTAAATACTATAAATAATTTAAATGCTCAAATAAATGTTGGAAATTGATAAGGGTCACTGAAATAATTCAGAAAGTACCCATAATTATTTCCAGGATTTTATAAAATGATTTGATATTTTTAAAACAAATCAAAAACAAATTGCAGAAATAGAAAAATATAAAACAGAATAGAAATAAAAGAGAGGAGAGAAACCTTACCTGGCGCTCACCTGGTAGCCCACCTGGCCCAGCAGCACGGCCCAGCCCGCCACCGCTACTCCCCTGTCGTCTTCCTCCTCGCCAGAAGGACGCGGACACCGCGACGCCGCCGTGCGCGCCACCTCCACCCTGCTCTGGCCACCTCCTGCTTCCTCCCCGAGCCCTCTGGTGACGCCACGCGCCTCCCCGACCCCCTCTCACTTCTCCCTCGCTCTCTGGACCTCCCTCCCCCTCGCTCCTCTGCTTCCCCCCCCATGACCGAAAGCCGCCGCCGACGTCGCTCGCAACCACCGTGGCCACCAGCCCTCCCTCGCCCATCCAGCGTGCTCGAGAGCTCCGTCACGACATCCTCGACCTCCCCACCAAGCCATGGAACTACGGACGCGCCACAAC